GGGCAGTGGTTTCCTTGCGCACAGCGCGATGTTACTTAGTGAGTCGCTGAATGGGGAGCGCTGCTGTCCCCAAGCCGATTGGTACTTCTTGTCAGGAAGAAGCCGAGAGGTGGGAGTGCCTGGGGAGGGAGGCAGGCGGTCCCTACCGCAAGCGCGGGGAGCTGCCTTTCCGCCCCTCTGCTTGCTTTCCGAGCCTGGGCTCTTAGGAGTGGCTGAAGCTGCGGAGCGCTTCAGGAGCCTGTGAATGAACCCTCCTCCTCTTCCTCCTCCTCCTCCTCGCCGAGTCTCCTCCTCGGTGCTGACGGTACAGTGATATAATGATGATGGGTGTCACAACCCGCATTTGAACTTGCAGGCGAGCTGCCCCAAGCCTTTCTGGGGAAGAACTCCAGGCGGGCGGGCGCAACAGCCGCGAACATTAGGTGCTGTGGACAGGCGCTGGGACTGGGATCTGCGGCCAGCCCCGCATCCTCCCGCATTCTCTAGCACCGTCCCGCACCCTCCGCACCCTTCCCCAGGCCACCACGCTTCCTATGTGACCCGCCCGGGCAACGCCGAGCTCACTCGCGCAGCGCTACGGTGAATTGTTTCCCACAAACTGCAATAAGCCGCCTTTCAAGGTAATCACGTTTCTTTTGTTCCCCCTTTAAAAAAAAAAAAAAAAAGACTTATAGGGGAAAAAAGCGAGCTTTAAAAAAAAGTACATTGCAATCGGTAGAAGCCTTTAATTAAGGCAAAGAGAACTAGCTGTAATGCGAAGTTAAGTAAATATATGCACTTAAAAGACGCAGGTAACTTTCAGAAGAACGTTCGGAGAGAGGAATACAGAGGGACCGTGGTGCTGAAAAAGATCCAGACAAAAGAAGTCCGAGGTGGGGTGGGGGTAGAAGGACTAACGGAATTGGGGGAAGGGAGGGAAGGGATTGTAGAGAACCTCTAGAAAAGTCTTCGGGTCTTGATCTGGAGAGGAAGGGGGGCGGACCCCTGCCACCTTGATCTTTTTTTGTTTGTTTGTTAACCTGCTGAAGCAAAAGTTTGAATGGGGACTCTCAAGGCTTGCCCACACACAAGTCCCCAAAGCCGCTTTGGTGCAGGCCACCTGGTTCCCGGCCCCTGGTGTGTGGTCAGTTCCTTGCGTTCCTGGAAAGCTGCTCCTGGGCAGCTCCTGACAGGGCGACCCTGCGCCCCAGCAGCCGGGGACCTGCGCGGACGTGACCCCCTCAGCCCACAGGCAGTCTAGGAGGAGGTCCGGCTAGGGAGGTGCAGGGTCCCCGGGCTGCGTCTCCTTGGTGACTTGGGGGCTGTCAAGGCTCTCTCCCGTGCCCCAGGTTCTTTTGTCCTGAGTGTGGTGCGCAGGGGCTGGCCGAAAAGGAGCAGAGAATGGGGGTGGGGTTGTTGGAGCACCGCGGATGTCTGGGAGGCGCCTGGGCGGGAAAAGCTCGCTGTGAACTAGCAAAGATGTGCAAGAATTTTATCTCACCCTGAAGAACGAAGTGGAGGCTCTCGCTCGGTTCTCAACTAGCAAACCAGTGCTCAGAGCGCTCTCCAGACAAAGGTGGTGCGGGGACCCGAATCTGTGGCCTCTAGTACCAGCCTTCTCTCCCCGGCCACAGCAATCCTCCTTTTCCTTGATCACTCCACCACCTCCCAGCTTTCGGCTCTTGTTGAGCAACTTTATTGGCGGGTCGAGCGGCCGCGGAGAGCGTATGCCTGGAGCCCGGCTGGACGCCCTCAGCTGAGAGTCCCACCGCCCTGCGGAGGCGTGGGCGCTGTCGGGAGACAGCCTTGGTGCGTGCGGACAGGGGATCATCGGAGCCGTCCCGGCTCGCTCTCTGTGTCACTAGGCGTGGAACAGTCAGTATGTTAGGCAGCGGAGAGCGAGATAGAAAAATAGTGTCATAGCCTAAACTGTTTGCTGCGCCCCAGCAAGTCCTGCATGTCCCCGGGAGATGCTGCGGGAGGGTGGAGAAATCTACGCGGAGCCTGGAGAGCTGTCCCCTGTGCGCACACCCACAGGCGAAAAGACAGTCTCGCTATCTGTGTCCCGTGTTTTATCTTTGTCTCCCCTGTTTCCATCTTCTCAGCCTTCCTTCCCCTCTCCCAGCCTCTGCTCCGTCTCTCTAGTTCCTGCGTCCCCTCCCCCACGCCTGACTAATGAATGGCTAGTGTGAAACCCCTGCCTCTTCTGCCCGAGGAGGCAGGCAAGGAGGGAGGAGCGAGGGAGGCGGTGCGCTCCTTGGGATCTGCCCCCCGTTGTGTGACAGATGTCTAGGAATAGGGAGTTTTGTGGCGGGTGTGGGCGCCCCCTGATGGAGAAATCCAGCACAGGTGGGAAGAAAACGAGCCCCCTCAACGCAAACGAGCCCCCTCAACGCAAGCGAGCCGCTTTCACAAGGTTGGAGGACCCTAACTCCCCTTTAGTCGTTACTTTTCTACTTCAGAATCTGCGACGTAAATCTCGGGGTTTGGAGAACGAGAAAGGAGACCTTGTCTTTGTGAAGTTCAGAAGGGCCTCCTCTCAGTCAGCTGGGATATGCGGCGAGTCTGCAGCTTGGTGCACAAACAGAATTTTGGATGAGGGACTTGATGCTCAATTTTGGGCGTCACTTTAAGAAAGATAATACAGAATGCCTTATTTTTGAACATTTTACTAAGGCCCGTGACCACTTAAACCCACTGCTAATGACCCAGGATATTACCAAAGAAAAGTCCCTGATCCAAAGTTTAAACTTCCTCAACTACACGACACGGGACGAACGTGGAAATTTGGGAGGAGGGCGCCAGGAGGAAAAGAAAGAGAAGGGAAGGGGGAAGAATGGGTAAATGAAAGGAAGGGAAGGAAGAAAGGAGTGGAGATGGGGTAGATGCACGCAAACAGCTGGGAGAGGACCGGCAAGGTTGATTTCGAGGTACTGGGCTGAATTTCGCGTCTCGTTTTAAAATCGTTTTTAAATCCCACCAGCGACAACAAACGCAACTGAAGCGGCGTGTGGGGACGGTGGCACTAGCCCTTAAAGCGGCTTGGGCAGGAGGTCAACCCACTTCACGCTCAGCTCGAGCAGAGTGTCCGCGCCGGGCGCACTTCGCAGCGCCGTTCACCAGCCGCCGCCACGTGGCCTGGAGCTTCAGCTCCCGGCCCGAGACGGGTGTGACTTCTTGGGCTCCAAGACAGCAACCCTGCGGAACCGGCAGTCGGCTCAGCCTGGAAACTGGCTGGGCGCCTCCTGGGTCCCCGCCCAGAGGCCAGTGGAAGGCGGGGCTTTGCTCCTCCAGCGGGACAGGGGCGGTGGAAGGCGGGGCCCGGCTCCGCGGTGGGGGGCCCGGCTCCGCTGTGGAGCCCCGCGGCTGCGTACCCCGCGCTCCCACAGCGGGCTACTGCTGGAGCTGACCCGACATCCGTCGAGACGATGCTAAACACTCTTATTAAAAGACAAGTTTTCTTTCTTTTTCTTTCTTTCTTTCTTTCTTTCTTTCTTTCTTTCTTTCTTTCTTTCTTTCTTTCTTTCTGTCTGTCTGTCTGTCTGTCTGTCTGTCTGTCTTTCTTTCTTTCTTTCTTTCTTTCTTTTCTTTCTTTCATGTGGTAAAATATACATAAAATTTAGCATTTTAACCATTTCTTTCTTTCTCTCTCTCTCTCTCTCTCTCTCTCTCTCTGTCTCTGTCTCTTTCTGTCTCTCTCTCTCTTTCTTCCTTTCTTTCTTCTTTCTTTTTTCTGTTTTTGAGATGTAGAAGTTTTTGCCTTGCGACAAGGAAGAAGCAAAGATTTACTCTAAGCAAACTCTTTGTCAGAAAAATGAGACGAGTTTGTCTTGTGCTCCATACATTGATGTTTTAAACGTTCAGCTCGGTTTAAAGACCTTTTTTTTCCCCTCCCAGTTACAGGATAACCACCTTCCAGACCGTCATAAAGAGTTTGTCTAGAATGGCAAACGATTGTCGTTTTTGACAGGGCTGACAGAATTCCATGAGTGCAAATAAGAATGGGGCTGCGGACGTAGCTGAGGTCTCTGTGCATCAGGAGCCTTAGCTTAAGCCCGGCCCATAGTGAGAGCTCAACACATAATTATGAAATGACTGAGCTAGTGGCTTAGGGGAATGTGGTACAGATCAGACACTGCCATTTAGAGCTGCATTTTAAACTCTCCTACTTCTTTGGTTTATCTTGGAAGAACAGGATTTTAATGATCTCTCCAATCTTAACCTCTGATATCTAATTGATCCACTTTCTGGTTCTTTTTGACTCCTAAAAACTGATGTAAATTATTTTAAGTACTGCTTGGAAATTTGCCAAATCTATCTTGAAAATATTCATACAAAGTCCCAGAATAGGATGTTGTGAAGTTAATATAAAAATAAGAAGGCACCAGTGAATTCAACAACTAGTCTTCTGAGATAAATTTTTTTCCCAGTTTGGGCAGTATGTAACGTGGAAAGTCAGAGCATATCAAGCAGAAGGTCTTAGAGACTGACTTGTAGTTCTAAGCACTAAGTAAAGAAAGGAATATTTTATAATTGTATGTGCCTGTCTTGACTAATACTGGAAAGGGTGCAATGGATTCCAAAGTGATTGAGCAATTACTTCCTCCAGCAGGAAGTCCACAGTCCTTAATCTTGTGAGTGGTGAGAAGAGGGATGAGAGTCAAGACCATCACTAAGGATTTATGTAAGAATTCAAAATGGTCAGTTATTTTTTCTTAGTAGATAAAAAAAAATTCCTAAATTGTCCTGCATTTAAAAATGAAGTTTAAAAAGAATCCCCTTAGATTTATATATGTTTACAGACATAGGTTTCTTCTTTTTCTCTGTGCTTACCATCTGGAGGGGAATGTTTCTAATATTCTAAGTTACCTATAGCTACACCCTTGTAAATTCTGTTTGAAAAGGACCTAAAAAGCTAACTTAAGGCTGAATATAATTGATATTAAAAATATAGTCATTGTTTTCTCTTTCCTTGCATTACGCTTAAGTACTTTGTGGTTAATGATTGGTCACTAATTAAGCCTCAGAGCCTTTGAGAGCACGAACATCCAATACTGTCTCCCAACAGTCATAAAACTAAGCTCTCTTTCCAAAAAACATTTTTGTTGACTTTATTCATAGGCAAACATCACTAGACACTATATTTAAAATGGGATATTGCCCTGTGACTGAGCAGAACTTCTCAAGATATATGGTTCTTTTGATGAAAAGAATGAATGACTGTAGTAGGCTATTATTTCACCACCCACCTAGAGAAACCAGTTAGGACTCACAAACCCTCATTGTTGGGGGTTACTAGCTCTGGTCTGAGACAACATGCTGATTGTTGCATAGGTCTGTACTTTACCACAAAACAAAAGGCCCATACTCTCTCAGGTTTGAAATCAGAATGAGGGAATGTAGAAATAAATGTCTTGGCCAAACTCCACTTCGATGAGTGAATTTTTGCCAGTTTCCTTTGGTAGCCAAGACTTGGTAAATTACACATATATATTTATATATACATACGCACACATATTCTCCAGGTTTTTTTTTTTTTTTGACTCTGCTAAGTTCTTATTACTGAATGTGCCAGGAGTGCTTGTATTTTAGTGATTAGTGCAAAGTATCTTTGTTTAATGTGTTTGTCAGTTATGTTTCCTGAAATTCCTCTGGAAAGATCTATCATCTATTAAGGAGTTTAAATACATACCTACATTGAAATTTACC